TTCCAGCCCCGGGAGAAGGGGATCAGCCTCATTGAGGGTGCTGCTGAGGTGGGTGAGGAGCGGACGGGCAAATACTCTGTGTTTGTCTGTGTGTGCCGTTCCTCAGGGCGGAAAATGTGTGCTTCGTGTAAAGAAAATACAGGCTAACAGGGACGTGCGCTGGCTGCGAGGAGTTAATTCCTTTCTCTGTATGCGCCTCTCGCCTTTTGTTTTCTTTCTGCCTTAATCTGTAGGTGTTAGCGCTCGCTGCGTTATCCCAAGAGTCATAACCCGCAGGGTAAGTGCAATGTTCAGGGGCTTATTGTTCTAAGCTTGGAGCAGGCACAGAACCCGAGTGTTGTTTTTGTCAGGGGAAGCTTCCTGCCCCTGCAGGATGTGAACTAGGCGCTGCGATAGGGAAACGACCCATTTCTCAGCCAGGAAATGAACCCAGAAACGCTCAGTAAATTTCAGCTTAAACATCTCCAGGGCCATGCCCACAAGTCCTCCCTGAATTCAGGGTAGGGTTAAGTCCCTTTCTGGGGAAGAGACTTAATATTTAACCAAGAGAAGTCCCTGAAATGAGTATGTGTTTGTTGTGGAAGCAAAGCTGTTGTTGATTAAACGTTGAGAGGAGGATAAGCTTTGTGGTCTCAAGGGTCAGGAAGAGTCACTGCGTGCCTTAGTAACTTAAATAAGTCTTAAATATGCCTTAAAATAAGAAGTGGAGGCTTGGAAATGTGTTTGTGATGGGGATTGCACTAGTGAGACTCAGGGTTTGGCTGTAATCCTTGTGCTTTGGGTGTGATTTGAGACAAGTGTTTGAAAGGATTGTTTAAAGTTGGGTGAAATAAGGTGTTTAAGGGGGGAGGAAAAGCAAACTGGTTGTGTTTGATCTAAATCACAGGTGATCTGTGGAATGAGTGGTCACTGCATGGAGTAACTCTGCCTCTCTTCTCACAGAATGAGAACACTCTGTGCCCCAGACAAAGGAATGCCAAGGTGGAAGATCTCTGGAGTCTGACCAACTTCTTTGGTTTTGCCACCGAGACATTTGTTTTGGCTGTCAACATCCTGGACAGGTTCTTGGCCCTTATGAAGGTACAAGCGTGGCTGTGGGTTCCTCCTGTACTAGCAACAGTTCTTTGTGAACCTGCTGTGCACTTCTTTCACCTCTCAAGACAAGTAGCAGCTTGATTGATTTCCTCTAACGAGTCTGTGACCTTCCCTGGGTAGATGTCTAAGAAAGGAGGAATTGAGAAAGAGCAAACCAATGTGTGTGTTAGACTATTTCTAGGTACCCTAAAGCTTAGCCTGGCCCTGGAACTGATACCATCATCATTTCCTCCATGTTTTCACCATGTTGTGCTGCTTTAAGGCAAGAAATTCGGTCCTAAACCAGTTCCCCATTATTAAATCAGCAGAAAAACTGAAGCTGCATCAATTTTCAAGTCTGACTAGCCTTGAGGTGGCACAAAACATGCTGCTGGTAGGTGGGAGAGAGGAGCAGAGCCAGAAGAAGTGGTGGTGGAGGAATGGGGCTGCCTGGAACAGGCTCAGACTGGATCTGTGTGGGCTGTGAGCGAGGGTAGGTGAGCACTGCCGCTTGGAGACGCCGGGAATTACAGCCCTCCCTGCCAGGGACTGGTGCACTAATGTGGAACAGCTCCAACAGACGCTGCTCAGCTGTTGATCTGGGGCAGAGGAAGTGGATTTCAGGGCTGCTCCAGGGGCTCTGCCTGCTGGAGTTGGGTCCAACAGGAGAGGTGGAACTGGGGGTGGTGCGTGCTGACATCAGGCTTAGTTGAGATAAGCAAATCTGTTGAACTGTGATTGTTCCAAACAGCAATGGAGTTGCTCCAACAGCTCTCCCAGACTGGGTGAGCGCTTGGGGTTGCTGTTCGAGCGCAGTGGTAAGCGAGGAAGAAGTGTTCACAGTGCTTGCTCCTGTTTGCAGGTGAAGCCCAAGCACCTGTCCTGTATTGGAGTGTGCTGCATCCAGCTGGCTGCCCGTGTGGTGGAGGAGGAGTGCAACATCCCCTCTGCCCACGAGATCATCCGCATCAGCCAATGTAAATGCACTGTGTCCGACCTGAAACGGATGGAAAAGATCATTTCAGACAAGCTGCACTTTGAATTCAGAGCTACTACTGCCTTAACCTTCTTGCACTTGTATCACACTATTGTCCTCTGCCATACCTCAGAAAGGTGAGCTGGGAGGCACCTCGGGGCTGCTTGCGGGCTTTGCTCTGCCCTTCTGATGCCATGTTGGCTGTAGAGGAGGCAGCTCCTTAGTTCCTGATGAGGGAATGCTTGTTGATCCGTGTCCTTTTGGGTGTCCCACAGGAAAGAAGTGTTGAACCTGGACAAATTGGAAGCACAGCTGAAAGCTTGCAACTGCCGTCTAGTCTTCTCTAAAGCTAAAGTGAGTAGAAGTAGTTGTCTTTACTCCTGTGTGTCTTCAGGGTTCCTGTTATGTTAAGTGCTGTTTCCTTGTCCCTTCAGCCATCTGTGTTGGCCTTGTGCCTTCTCACTCTGGAAGTTCAGACGCTGAAATCTGTGGAGCTGTTGGAGATCCTTCTGCGTGTTCAGAAGCATTCGAAGGTAGAGACATTGGGTGGATTGTTCTTGCCGTTGTTGGGGCTGACACTGTTAGTGATGGATAATGTTACATGTAAGTGACCCCCTAAATGGGTCTCTGCAGGTCCTGTTTGGCATCAGCTGAAAGAAGCAACTAAACAACAAGCTTAAATGTCTGAAATTAGAACTGCTGACCCAGTGCCTGTACAATACAGGCTTTAACCAGCAGCTCATTGAACTTGTGCAGCTCCAGCTGTATGTTCTGGAGAAAATTCCAGTTGGTCCATAGGGCTACAGGGACTGCTGGGCTGATAATTCTTTTTGCCTGAATCCAAGGGAATGGCTGGAGCTGTGTCAGGGGAGAGTTAGGTTGGATATTGGGAAAAGGCTTTTCCCCCAGAGGGTTTTTGGGTGTTGGAACAGCTCCCCAGGGCAGTGGTCATGGCCCCGAGGCTGGCAGAGCTCAAGGAATGCTTGGACAGTGCTCTCAGGCACAGGGTGGGATTGTGTCCTGTTGTTGCCGTTCATGACAACCGACCTCCTTCGGCTGAGATGGCACAGAGGCCTCACGCCAGCCCCCGGTCCAGTGAGCACTGACACCAGTATGAGGATGCTGCAAATGGTGTTTATTGCTTCACTGACACCTTTTTATATACAATCACTCCTTCGTTACGGCCTTCATGTCCGCGTAGGCAATCCACGTCATTTCCCTTAGCGTAAACCTAAACATCCATAGGAAGGGGTTCCCTCTCCTAACCTTTCCGTACATCGCGAGATCTTCCGACCGCCGTTCCCTACAAGT